TTCCAGATTTCCTGCAAATACATTAGAATTTACAAAAGGAATTTCACTACTAACTGCCTACTTTGCGTACTTTTCTAGTACCATTTTCGCACCAAGGGATTTTATTCTTCCCCTTTCTCCGTCCTTCGTATATGCAACCTTTTGTAAGGGAGTGTCAAACTGCGGCTGTCAATAATTATCTAACCTTGTATTATTGAATCGTGGTCGAAATGATCATATCGAAAAAATGCTAACTTATTCCCTTGACCTTGACATAGGTCAACCCAAGGCATATTCAAAAAGGCAGAAGTGACAATTCAGTCGAGCTCTCTCATAGCTGACTGTAATGTCAAAAAATGTAAACAAAGAAATTAACACTTTGTTATGCATTTACCGTAGCTATAGTCAAAATAAAGTCGACTCCTAAAGTTAAAAGCAGCTTTTTGACATAACTTTCAATGGGATGTCTGTCAAAAAAAGCGGCTTTAAACTTTAGATTCGACTTTATTTTGACTATAACTGCGGGATAATATCTTTGAAATGAAAGCTTTTGTAGATATGAAAATTTCTAAAATCTCATTAGAATCAGCTTCATTCTAGGTATTGCATTTTCGTTTTAATGTAAATGTGGAAATGCATACTTACACAAAATTACACACTTAGTGAAACACACTCATTTACAAACCCATTTTGGCAATTTTCTTGCTTTTACTAGCCCAATTAGACATTTAAAAAAGGTATGATTATTCTAAAGTTACATCAGAACTTAACTTCAATAATTCAGCTATTAAATTTTGCAATTCGAAATTTCCTTTCCATTAAATTTATTAAAAGTTAATTTCAGTTTCTTTATGTCAACAATTAATGCCGGTTTAGGTTTTATTAGACCACCATTTGAAATTTGGTCCATCCATATATATGAGTGGAAGATTTTCTCTTCATATTCGGTATAATAATTCCTGCACCTGGGAGCAAACGCGTCCGCTTAGAAATATCCGGCTGCGATGGGCAACAAATAAAGTCACTGGCACTAAAATGGTCTTCGCGCACACGTGAAGAGTCTCCTAATGAAGTATTGATACTTCGGAGTTTTAAAATAGCGCACAAGTTTGTTGTCCTGGTTCTTGTCAAACACAACATACCGCCCGTAATTCCTTTTCATTTTATTATGTATTTAAAATCAGTCGCACAGCTCAAAATTGAAAATTTATATTAAAAAAATTAAAATTTTTAATGGTATAGGGTTACATTTTTGTCGCAATTCAAAAGAGAGAAATGTCGAAATCACTTCTACCTTGTTATGCCATGGGTCAACCTGAAAGCAGTCAATGTTGTGATCGCTTTTATTTTTGTTCTCCACGCGTTCAGTCGTCCCACTTGCTTCTTCGGTAATTGTGTTTTATTGAATACCTTTTTCAAAAAAGAACCTTTTAAATATGGAATAAGAAGATCATGTCTATAATCAAGTAAACTTAAATGAACTGCTTCTAATATGGCCTTCGTTTAAAGTAGTTAAAATCTGGCTGTCGTAATATTTTTTTTATAAAAAATTTTTAAGTATTGGTATTTTTTACTTGTCAAGCTTTGTCAAGGCTTTGTAATCACGTTTATCGTTGAGCAATTAAAACAAAAACAATTTGCTCACATGTGCTCCATTTGGTTTTACAACGGACGAAACACGATGAGCCGTACAATTATAATTTTGGTTTTTTGTCGCATTGTTAAAAAGCTGTAAGTCTCATCTTTAATTTGGTACGATCGAATATTATTTGTCAATATATTTTGTCCATTGTAAAAACTCGATCCATCGCTCGTTTTTCACCTACTTGTTTCTTCATCTATAAAAATAACTTAAAACTATAAGAAGACGAGGGCTGAAAAGTGAACTCGGGAGTCACAATAGCTTTCATCGGAGCTGGGTACCCAGATTTTACTTTGAAGCTTTGAATTAAGTAGATCTCATAAGACGAGTAAATCGTTTTTAGAGGAATTTTTTGACAAATTGTCATTTGTACTTTATAAGTACAGAAGTGAAAAGTAAAAAGCATACACATTAGGTAATGGACTTGTCATTTCCATATTTTGAATGTGTTCACATGTCAGTGCTTATTTGTTTCTAAAAACATTCTTCCGTCGGTTTTGTGCGTTTTCTGCTTTTTTCCCTTTTTTATTTAGTTCTCAACGTTTCTTTTCTAGTTTTCTTAAAAGTGTCCTCCATACAGTACTATTCGAGATCAAAACATAATTGAAACGGTTAGTTTTTCCATTTTACTATGCTTTGAAGTCATAGGATTCGCGATTCGTTGTACATTCCCATGTATTCTGTGTTTGTGATATTGATGATTTCTGGTAGATAATGCAGTAAAATTTCTTCTTTTTATTGAAGACATCAGCTCCTCTTCAAATTTTCCAGATTTTGACTCTATGCCAGCAAACTCTTTCGTAGAATAAATGCCTTGTCAGATCTGTCCTCTCTGCATAACGACTTGAATAATCTTGTCAATTGGTGTCGCATCAGCGCAATGTTTTCATATTTTCTTCTACAAATCCTCAAACATTATTTTCTCTGACTACAAAATCTAAAGCAATCCGATGGCCTCTGTTAAATAATAAGTTGATTGATGTCGTTTTTGATGCGAATTTTACATTTGTTAATCATGTCTTTTATAAGCTTACAAAATCTTATAGTAACCTGGCTTTCCTACGTAAATATGCGTATGACTTTAAGGATTCCTACACTAAATTCATTATTTATCTCTTTGAAACCTTATATTCAGGCTGTCACGCCGTGAGAATCAAAAGAATGCAGAGGAAATTCATTTGTTTTGCTTTAAGTTTCCTTAATTTTGATGGCCCAATGCCATCTTACGATCGCCGTTGAAGATTTATAAACTTACAAACTCTTGAAACTAGAAGAATTTTCCAGTTGCTCTTGTTTGTCTTTGTCTCGTTGTTGGTTCTTTGGATTTTTCAGTACTTCTTGAGAAGATTATTGTACCGCCCTTACTTAATTTAAAAGAATCTCAAAGAGTCTAAATTTTGATTTTTCTATTGATTCATGTTTCTTGTAACTAATTATATACATAGTATATGAATTTATTTAGTTTTAAATTTTACTGCCTTATCTGTAATATAGTCTGTAAGATTGTAATCATAGACTGAATTAACTAAATTGGAATTGGAATACAGAATACAGAATACAAGGGCATATACCTGCAATAAATCTCGAATTCCCCTATTATATTTACTTGCAAACTCTGCACAAGGAACCCTATTTATATACATATAGTACTAACATAAGAGTGTATGTGTTTGTTCTAAATAGTAAAAGAATTTTTCCCAAAGAACCTTTCGAGAGTATAAATTGTACGTTGTTATTTAAGTATGGGAGCTCTGCTAAGCATTGTCCCAGAAAAATTCACACATCTTTTAGACGCTTCTGCGCTATATATTTTATACATACAGATACTTAATCATAGGAGCATAAATATGAATATTTCATATGAAGCACGCATATTGATTTACAGCAAAAGAACTACGGTCACTAATACATATATATATACATACATATGTAAGACTGCAATTTTATGCATAATTTAATGCTGTTCGCTACGTATTCATTTTTTATGATTTTCCCATAAGTAAGTATTGTTTAATGAAGCTAATTTCAGTAGCTTGAGAAAACAAAACAACAAAAGCAAACCAAACTTAAAAAATGCATACATGTGTACTACGTCTAGAGTTGGTAGAGAATTTCAAGGGAACCATGTTGCAAGGTCACAGAAAGGAAGACATTGCTGTGAATTTGAAACTCATGCTGCATGCGTTCGCTATTTCTTTTTCATTTTTCATTATTATCTACTCCTCTATATTTCCATGCAAACATACTTATTTACATATCTGTTGCTTTGTTCTTTGAAAAAAATGCATTAACGTGAAAGTCAAAATAGAAAAAAATGCAAATTATAAGCGCCTCGTAAGCCAACACCTACAACTAAAATACAATAACAGCAACAACTTATACAAAAACAATCAAATTGAAATTACTTTCTGGTATCCACTCTGTAAATGATGGCACAGAAATTAAGAAGAATGTGTGAAAGTGTTGGACAAACACTACAAACCACCCGCACGCTGGAAGTATGTAACTACTTTATACATACATACCTACAAATTATGAAAAATTACCAACAAACAAGGCTAGAAGAAAAAAAGCACTGAAGCACTGGTTTTGAGAAAGAGTTATAAAGAACCAACAACAACAAAGGCAATAACAACAAAAATACATTAAGGGTATTCACGATCCGGTGCATACTGTCCAGCAGGGTGCATAGAAAGCATAAATAATGATTGGCTAATTCTGTTGTTGCTTGAACACATGAACCAAGAACAATCATGCTATTTATGCTATCTATGCACCATGCTATACAGTATGCACCGGATCGTGAATACCCCTATTGTGTCCCATGTGCACACATATCAAAGTAATTTGAGCCACAGCGCATACTCACAACCGACCATGCATATGTAAATACATAAGTGCTTACAAAAAACTTTTTAACACTTAAAAAGTGGCAGGCGAACCGAGCGCAACAAAACGGTAAGGTAAAAAGAAAAGTTGCAGAATGAAAAACAATTCCGTTGAGGTGCTAGAGTTCAGGAGCTTAATGAAAGCGGAGAAGGTGTCAAAGACTAACTCGAAGACGACAACAACAGCAATCAATCAAGTGGCCGTGCAAAGGTTTCGCAGCTTGTTAGGTAGTTTCTTTGTTATTAAGTATAAGTATATACATACATACTACATGTGTATATTTGTATGCACACAATATGGACATAACCGCATTAGTTCTTAGCATCTTACATCGTGGTTCTTCACAACTGCCTGGTTATGAGGACTGGTTTAAAGAGTTCTTCAACGAGAATAACTCGTTTTCGAAGTTACATTTTCGTACCGTTATTATTTATTCAGATTACCTTTACCATCGCAATTACCATTACATTATCGACACAGTTACTCTTACCATTACCGTTATCATTACCATTACATGTACATTGCTATTATCATTACTATTATCGTTACCATTACCATTAACACTATTATCACCATCACCATTACTATTACCATAACCAATGCAATTGTCATTAACGCCAACATTACCGTTGCCATTGCATTTAGCATTACCACAACCATTACCGTTACCAGAACCATTACGACTATCATTACCACTGCCATTACATTTGCCATTACCACTGCTATGGCCAATACCTTAAAGTTACCATTTTCACTACCTTTACCATTAACATTACTCTTACCGTTATCATTGTCATAGCCATAACCGCTACCATAACCATTACCTTTAATATTAGTTTTTACAACAAAATTCGATTACCATTACCATAACCGCAACCATTGCTATGCCACCGCCATTATAATTACCATTCCATTACCAATACCATTATTTTAAATTGCATCGTATCTAATAGTAGCTACAACCATTACCGATACTTCTACTACTCTGCACGCTACGGGTGACAGTGGGCGACGCTGGAAATATATATATTGAGCTTTGCATTATTGCATATTTCACGGGGAAATATTGCTGTTATCGTCTTGTATCTGGAATGCGGAAAATTTTAAAAATTTACAGGAAATTTATTATTTATTTATAGTCTTTTTTTTCGTCAAATCAGAATAGACGTGTTAAAATAAATTTTTTAATAATGTAAACATTTTACTTCTCTAACAAGTAAAAAATTTTAGCAAATCTAAACCACCATTTGCGTGAGCTCCACCGATTTGAAAATACCTCCAAAAATTTAGTTTTTTGTGGACAAAAACAGTTATTTTAAGTATTTTTTGCAAAAAATCACTTTAAATGACAAAACATTTTAAGCTTAAAAAATTTGCATAAAAATAAAAATACAAATTTTAACGGAGGTTTTTGATGCTGTTTTGAACATTTTTCAAAGACTGGTTTAAAAAAACTTGAATAACTCAGTCTAAACTTTACCGATTCAGACTTATGAGGTATTGTTGGGAAGGAATTTTCTCACCCTTTTCATTTTTTTGCAACTAAGCTCACTCAAAACATGAAAAAGAAAGATAAGACAAACGATCCTCATTACATATTGAATAAAGATATGTTGGTATTTGATAAAGAAAAAATTGGAACGTGAATTAGTTTTTTACAAAGAAATAAAAAGGGTGAGAAAACGCCTTCCAACTGGTACCTTACAAGTCTATATCGGTATAGTTTTGCCCCAGATATTCAAGTTTTTCTTAAACAAGTCTTTTAAAAATGTTAAAAAACAGCATCAAAAATCTCATTATCATTTCGTTGAAAAATTGTTTGAATACTTTTATGTAAATTTTTAAAGCTTAAAGTGTTTTGTCATCTGAGGGGATTTTTCCTAAAAAATACTTTAAACAAATATTTTTATTCATAAAAAACCCAATCTTTGGAGGTATTTTCCAATCGCCCCAGTTCATGTAAATCTTAATATTTTTCCGATATATTTTAGTAAAAGTCTTAAATTATAATAAATTTTATAATCCCGACGCAAAAACTGCAACTTTTTTCGGTAAGGCACTCTAATGTACATACATATGTATGTATGTATGCATGTACATTAGGGTTGTCCAAGAAAATGCATGTGAGAAAAGTAAAGTCGGAAAAATATTTTACTGTTTATTTATCAAAAAATATAATGAAGTCGCTCAAATCGCCCAAAGCTTCTCATATATTTTAAATGAGGAAAAACTATTTCTCTTTGAAATGGCATCTTGAAAATCAGTATTTTTCAATCGGCAAACTCTGTTTCTCTTCAGAAGACTTCAAATTCAATTGTTTAATTTGCATTTTTTTGGGATTGGCGGAGCCATAAAATTACGACTTTATTTTCTTTGAAACACCCTAATGTACATATTTAATCACATACCTGCATAATCAGCACACTTGCACCTCTAAGTAAAAACCCAAAGCGCTACATCTTTCATTTGCCAACACATTAGGCGCGCAAATATTTAACAGCCAACAAAAAAATAAAAAATAAACATTAATTACCATTTAAGTCACTTAAAAATGTGTTATGTATGTATTTTGCATGCGCCACTTGTTTGCCACAGCCGAGTTTTGAAATAATAAAAAAACACACCAAGTAATTAAAAACTGTCAACAAAAACAATAAAAACGAAAAGTCAAATTTCAAATCGTTAAATGAAGCGCACAAAGCATACTTGCTAAGCAGTGCATTTGATAGCAAAATCCAAAGTGGTTGTTTTTGCTTTAGTCGTTGGAACAAATGTCGATTAAAACAAAAAAGTTTGCTGCATTTTCTCGCATTTGTTGTTTTCTTTGCCGCTTGGCATTGGGAGCTTCGTCATCGAGAAAAGTGTTGCGATTTTCCTTTTTTTAATGTTGTCAACATGTTTTGACTTTTTTTATTTCTTATGCTTCTTCTTTCGTCTTTCTATTACTATATTATCATACATACTGACACATGTATGAGTGCACATGCAAAAGCGTTTAGCTGCATACATGGCAGATTTGCTTCAAAATGTAGTTCACATATTTTGGTTCAACCAGTCAGACAGACAGACAAATCAATTTGCCAGTTGTTACAAATTCAGTTACAAGTTTTGCCATTACTCACATCTAAATATATCTAAATTTTTTGTAATCGTTGCTTTATTTGTTGATTTCCTAATAGCATTTACCATTGTATGTATAAATGTTTCCATGCATACGAATATTAAAATTCGGTTCAAAATGAATACTTAATAAATAGCTGCAGTAATGACAGTAATAGAAATAATTAAATGTGCCGAATCTGGTCTTAGTTATTAGCTTCATAAACTTTAAATATCAACGAATTAACTAGGTCTTATGAAAAGAACAATTATGTAGTAGCTACTTTCTCAACATCATAATTCAGTTTTGCCAATTAGCGGAAACATTTTCGTGACCTTCTGTGCAAGAGTGAACCTTCCTTACCAAATTTTTTTGACGTAGAACAAATATTTTGATTTTGATGTCAAATATTCTTCAACGTTTACAGTCATGGTACAATAAAAACAGGTAGAAGCCAAATTGACATCAAACCCTACAAAAGTCAAAGTTTTCGGGAGAGTAAAAATAAAAATGAGCGTGTGTAAGGAAAAATAAAAAAATACATTTCACTGGTTGACGTTTTTAAGTATATTTGAAGTTTATTCTTATTTATTTATTTTCTTTAGTTAAAATTTGAAAAAACGTGTATGTTGTTTTCTGTTTTTGTTTTATGAGTTGCAGTGTTGTTGGAGGGACTTTTCGGCATAAGGGTCATAGGAACAGCACTTGGCTTCAAACGTGCCTTTCCTGTACCTCCCGGTGTATTTGTGGAATCTACTTCTTTAAAATGTTTAACGCACAGCAAGGCATTTCACTGCAGCTCTGCCCACAGCTGCTTTCGCAACGTTCCTTACGCGAAGGACATTGAGGCACGTTAAAAAATTTGTGGTATCTGCTTATATTTAACACCACATAAAACACAACGCTTCAGGTGTTGCATTTTTAACACATACACTAAGTATAAACCGCACAACACTACAAAAATTCAAATGCAAATTTAAATTTGTTATTAACGAACATTCAAAAAAAAAACAACGATATGACATTCAAAGCGTAACGAAATATAGGAAATAAAATAAAATCAAGTTGAAGTTTAAAGGTTTGGTTCTCATGAGAGCAACGTCATTTTGGCTTCTACCTGTATTTATGTGCCTTGGTTCATGGTGGAATAATACAAGGTGTTGGATATTGACAGCGTTCTCGCTCTAATCCGCCATCTTGGCTCCCTTAGCTATATCAGTGTTTCCCTCTTGAAAAAACTACATTTTATCGCCTTTAAAAAAGTACTAAACTACCTCATTCCCTATTCCAAAACCGATTTGCAATCACTGAACAATTCTTTGACATTTACTCTATTCTTATCGTTGGCAACTGAAAATTAAATTAGAAATTTCAACATTAATTCGGCAAAAAAAAACATCGGTTTAGAGTTCTCCCCAAGGATTTGTAGTTATTTTGGTCGGTGCTTCCTTCCGCTGCAATTCCGTCTGTGGTTCACTGCCACTGGCCTTGCTTTTTCAACGATATAACTGTTTTCTTGGTAAGTTTAGATGGAAGATTTAAACAAGAACTACGTATTTAACTATGCATCTATTCCCCAGTGATTTTTGCTGCTGCAATCCCGTCTGTGGTTCACTGCCTCTGGCCCTGCTTTTCCAACGATATAACTGTTTTTTTGGTAACTTCTACCGCTAAGACTTTGTTGCTTTTTCCCTTTTCCCTAAAAACATAATAGTGCTACAAAGCTCAATAACAATATGGAAACAAATGTTAATAAGCCACAATAATATTGACAATAAATAAGATTTCACTACGATTGAATTTTCTATTAGTAACAGGGTAGTTATAGTGAATGTTTTATTCGATAACTAAAACTATATTTGATGTTTGTAGCGATAAAAATATGCCTAAATCAGCCAAATACCCTATGTGGGTCGGCTGAATCAGTAAAACGTGACAGTAGTTGACTTTTGAGGTTAATATATCGGTCTTGAGTTGGTAAGGTTTTTAAAAAATCCGCAGCTTCCTTTAAAGCATCGCTGCTAATTGCTGAGAAAACCAGATTGTATTTACCGACATAAGATGTGGTCTTGTACGACTGAAAGGTGGCCTCAATTTGTAGAAACCATTTGTCTGTCATCTCAGTTCAGAACAGTCGCAGCTTGCATTGCGATGCAAGCTCCACATCTTTAGTTGGCATTTTGTTCGATGAAATATTCTCCCCATCCGTCGATTCGCCCTTTTGTCGATTCCGTCATATTGTAACGACTCGGGGTCACCACTAATTTTTTGGTTTTGGAAGTTTGACTATAATTATAGGACATTGTGTTTAACAAACTAAATTACCATTTATTGCATAAGTACTACGTTATATATACTACTTTCGCGAATTTAGCTTATCATAATATACCGTTTGTAACTATTTATGTATATGCAAAATTTTATATGAAAAATAGTACCAAATTTCGTACTACTTCGCAAAGCGGGCTTTTTTTCTTCCCGTTTCTCTCGTGCTTCCATATTACAACCTTTTGTAAGGGAGCTGTCGACATGAGCTGTCACTACGTACAACACCTTGTATAATTCCACCATGCCTTGGTTTACAGTTTTAAGGTATTTTTATGATTGACGTCAAATAAGTATAATAATATAGCCCCAAATTTTCAACATGTAAATACATTCATAAAGTTTCGTAGCCATATGACTGCCATCGGATGGAAATGGTTGAAAGCCCCCTTTTCTCGCCAACTCATTATCTTTGCAGTCACTATTGCCTAGTAGCCATATGCATAAGTATAATTATAAAATATTCCGTTGCAATTAAAGGGAGGTCGGATACAAACCCTCACCAATTTTAAGTGCACCATACCTTACCTCCCTTATTGACGATACGTTCTTAATGAAGTAATCTACTGCTTCTTTGAGTGACCTGAAAAGCGCTACAGTCAGAAGTCTGACTTGACGTTGATGGAGAGCTCATGTCAGAAGAGCCCCACTGACAATCCTTCTATAGAACTGCGATCCATCAGGGAAGAGGTTCACTGCTAGCTCCCTCCAGGCGCCTCGCCCTCAATCATCCTTTGCAAAAATGTATTGAAAGATATTTCAGAAACGCAAGGATCCGTGTCATCCGAGATGAAATCGTACCTCATCCCCCGAATTTTAGAATGTCCAGACGCTTAACTTCATATGTCACCAAATAATTTAAGTATAATATCGGCGGTCATAAGCTATAACCGCCTAAGTCGACTTAAGGAAGAATTGAGTTAAATATGCTAACGTATTCTGCAACAACTTTTCCATGCATATGTGAGTATTCTTCAATAAAAACCGTATTAATCTTCGTGCAACATTTAAAAAAAAAATCAACAAACTTTTGTAAAAATTTCGAGGTTTCTAATTAGATTTCTGAGAAATATCTTGAGTATGCAATTATTCAGCCCATTCACTTTTAGTATAAAAGCGCAAGTTTGCAACTGAGAAACGCCGTTGATTTTTGGATTTTTTTTTTTACGATTTCAGTCATTTTCTTCCACACGAAGTATGCCAAAAATCCCAACTACTGCATACTCAAAATATTTATAAATTCCGAATTAAAAAGCGCAACATTTTTACGAAAGTTTGTTGAATATTTTTTTTTTTTTTTTAATGTTGCACGAAGATTGAAGTTTGTATTCATTTTTTTTGCTAAAGAATAAACTATATTTTTATAAGCAGATAATTAAAATTATAAAAAAGTAGTAAAATAAGTAACGAAATTTTGTCAATATGTGAGGGTCGTAAAGTTTAGATAAGCACTACGTATGTATATCGTATGTACATATATGTGTCTGTAGTTTGTTTAAGAAATATCTCTACTTTTTGGCTTCTTTATTTCAGCATATTTCTCAGTTGTTATCGCTATTATATAGCAAGAATATAGATACTTATCAATGAAAAACTGGGCTAAATAAACATATATGTACATTAAGGTGCCCATCGATTTTATTTTTTAATTTCAAGGCCCTATCCCCTAATTTTCTTTTTTTTTTAGAAATATGATTACCTATTTTTACAGATTTTTTAAAAATCATTTAGAGGGCGCGACTTGTCATATTAGGTCAGAAAATACGATTTTATAATATATCAGTTTTTGAATGACTATTATTCATTAATTTTTAAAGATCGAACATGTTGTGAGAAGAGGATTTATAGGCCTTTAAAATTATGTATAACAATCTATTGTCAGACTTGGAAATTCAGCAGAAAAAAAAAACATTTTTGCTTATTTTTTTAAATTGTGACCATCACTAATTTCCACAATTTCAAAATAGCAGCAATATCTAAAATTGAATTTATTTTCAAATAAACTGATCCCTCATTTATTGCAATCGCATGAAAATTGTTCAAGTTAGGCAACTTTACTTAAAGACGGCCTTGAATTTATATGTGTGTACGTACCGGACTTTCAGATTTTTTGAGCAGTGTTCATCAATATTTATTCAAAATTGATATATACAATCGCTCTTTAGAAAATCGGGGTGGCCCACTTATGTCATATATGTGTATCTCAATAACTATTTGACCGATCTCGACCAAATTTGGTATACACATCGCGCTTAGGCTCCTTAAGCACCAACTTGAAAACTTTTGAAATCGGACGAAAACCACTCTCCCTAAAATATAGCTACGTGGGGGGAGCCCGTGGTTTTTGTCCGATTTCAGTTTATCTATTATTATTATTATTCTGACCTAAAATGACAAGTTGCGACCTCTAAATGATTTTTAAAAAATCTATAAAAATAGGTAATAATATTTCTCATAAAAAGGAAGGAAATTAGGGGGAAGGGTCTTGTAATTAAAAAAAAAATATATATTTTGGCTGGGCACCCTAATTTATATGTATCTCAAGCGAAAGCATCAGTAAGCTATGAACAAACTAAGAAGCATATCTTTTTTCGTACACTAAACAAAGTTATCTCAAATGTACATGCATACGTACTTATGTACATATCTATGGTTGGTTTAAATGGATTGTCACCCTGATAGAAAGACAAATTTTTGTAGACTGATGTTGCAACATTTTGAAAGGGATATAAACATTGTAATGTTTTACATATGTGTTTATAATCCACTCAAAATTTTCAACAGTGGTTGGTTGTATGAAGAAAAGACTTACAACCTTAATCAAACTTTAAACAAAAAGTTAATGTAGATTGTATTACCAGGCAACAGCAATAAATCTTATCGGCTTTTTTGTGAGATGCGCTAAGGCAAACAATATTAAGAATGATTCAAACAATTTCGGGCTTTGTCTACAAATCAGCATTTTTTTATTAATAGGAGAAGTGTCAACTTTTTAAAATACAGTTGTGTGGATAAGAAATCTACGAAATCTTGCACATACATATATAAATCAATTAACCTTCTATCTGTGTGTTGATTTTACTTAAATAGTTTCTGCTGTGATAGTACGAGCATATATGTATGTATGTATGTACATATGTATGTATGTGTAATAGAGCGTATATGAGTTTTTGAAAGGTTAGGTTAGATTTGGAAGGCGTGTGTGGAATATTCCATACTCCGAGACAAAACTGCTCTCTTTTAGGAGGAGACACGTACCCATAATCGAGAGAGTAGCTTCAAGTCATTATTCTACTGAACCAGGTACTATCCCTAATGAAGCCGAGGAGATCCCACAATTCTACCTCCGCTATCTCGCCTAGACTGTTGAAGAGGCGTAAACCCAATAGCTCGAGGCGCTTCTTCTGTAGACCACCTGGACATTGGTGCTATGGCACAGTATCCTGTGATGACGCCGGAGAGGACTCTTACTGTAGATCTATTGATTTTCAGTATGTACCTTGTCTTTTTTCTACAAAGCCGAGGCTTTAGTATTCTTGTGATCTCACAGTCTTCCCGTTTGTTCCACAAGTCATTAGTCTCGGCCGCGGTGCATTATTCCATTTTCCTAACGTGATCACTAAACGGGGATAGTACGGAGCTATCCGCTTCTTGTACGAGCACATCTGAGCCGCATCTGGCCATCTCATCAGCCGACTCATTCCTTTCAATATTGCTATATCCTGGGACCCAGCATAGAGTGGCGTGGATACGTCTCAGTGATTCCAGTGTGGTGCGTCATTCCATACAATTCCCGATTGCACAATTTTAAATCCTATTGCCTTCAGTGCTGCTTGACTGTCGACAAAAATAGTGGATTTGTCTTCTGGAACTCTACTACTAAATGAAAAACTAGCCGCCCTCGCTATAGCGTAGATCTCTGCTTGGAAGACATTGCAATCGTTCGGTAGATGAAAGGACCGGTTGATCTGCACTTTCGAATAAACACAGGATCCGGTTCCTTGTTCCATCTTTGAACCATCAATGCGTCTGTTACTGACAGTCCTTCTCTGGGCGGAAACCTAATGAGTACCTTCGAATTGAAGCTCCAAAAGGAAATTTTACTCATTAAGGTAAATGTACATTTTTTTCAGTTCTTATGCGTCTGGGGTAGAAAACTTCCCTTCTACACAGACGGTGGGTTAAATCGCAAAATAATTAGTTTAGTTCGCTGTTCTGTTATTGATTCACAGCCCTCCGAGCGTAGAATTATGAGAGAAACGGTTTATATTCTTTTGATTGTTGCTTTTAATTCAATTGGAAATTAATTTGTGTTCACCTTAAGATGCGTCCTGGTTTCTTTTAAACGGCAGCCCTTAGAATAGCAAACGTACCGAGAGATTCTCCAGCATTAGAGAACAGCTTTTCTTGCACATACATATGTATATAAATGTAAATATGTCCACATGCAGTCAGCCAGTAGAACTCCTC